AGGCTGGCCTGGGCTTCCTGGGACAGAGAGACCCATCTGGCTTGCCTTTGTCACTTGCAGCAGTGTTCCAGCTGCTCGAGTTGGAGAGGCGGTCCTTCCCTTCATTGCGAGCTGAGCTCTTGAGTGTGGACATCTGGCTTCTGAGCAGGCTGGTTTTGGTTGATTCTGTTGGTATCACAGGAAGAGGGGTTAAAGGCATTTGGGATGGAAGGAGATATTTCATTATATGCAACTATTTCATCGGATCCTTAAAAGAAGAATGCAACTTCAGTTTGCCAACCGTCAGAGGATGATCTTGCCATGAACTGAATGCTGCACTAGTGGTTTGCTCTCTTTATCTGAATTTGAGCTGTGTCCCTCTTAGAAAGAAATCCACTCCCGATCTCATTCAGACTGTAGGCAAAATTCAGTTCCTTGCAGTTGTAGGACTGAGGTCCCCATATCCTTGCTGACTATAGGCCAGGGACCTTTCTCAGCTCCTCAAGGCACCTACACTTCTTCTCACGTGGCCCCTCCATCTTCCAGCGAGCAATGGAACCCTGAATTCCCCTCGTGGTTCATATCTTACTTTCTCTTCTGCCACCAGCTGGAGAAACCTCCTGCTTTAAGGGCTCGTGTGATTACACTGGACCCACCTAGATAACCCTGTTTTAGGACACCATAACATAATCATAAGAATGATGTCTCATCACGTTCAACGGTTCAGGATTTAGGGCGGGTCATCTTTGGTAAGCCATTTTAGAAATTCTGCCTACCACAGTTGCTGCCCAGACCTTTATTTACATTCTTTTCAGCCCTCTGTTGGGTCCCTTAACTAGTGAGTAGACACATCGAATACTGACCTTTAATCTGTATGCTTTATAGAATAATGAGGCTGTACAAAGACATCTTCATCACGCTTCATATTTGATAACATAGACCACACTAATTGTAAACGTGTTCTGTACTTTACAATTGAGAGGCACAAGTACCAAGTCTTCTTACAGGAGAGGGTAAACATTTGTGAATGAAATATGTCTGCGTTTTCAAGGAGAGGGAACTTACCTTTTCCTATAAGAAATTATATAGTTAGTGTGAAGTTTAGCTAATAATCTTCAAATGGCCTGTCTGTAGCACAGGAAAGTGACACCAGTGACCTCCATGCAGGAGATGTGAGTGTGCTATGTGCATTGTTTTTCTCAGCAGCCAAAGAGTAAGCCCTGTCTTAATTGCCTCTGTAACTAGTAGTTAAGAAAGATACATCTTCTCGGGAGCTATGTCTGTGAGCAAAAGAGATAAATGATCCATGCAGGACAGCTGGGCTTCTGCCACTGGACACACCAGCAGCCTGCTTTGACCAACATTGCTAAGTGAAAACAACCAGATAGACAGGTGTGCCAAGGTGAAAGTGAAATTTAGCTCCCAGAGTCCCCAAGCAGAAAAGCTGTACTATTGCCAAACCCTGAAAATACTGAATAAAGACGTATTTATTCAAGCATTTAACCACTCTGCAGACACTGTGTAGTCAGCACCATATTTCATCACTTTTCTACATCAAAAATGGAAACAAAATTAAAATTCCACACATGGATGCCTGTCCACACCAAGGATCCCAAACCTAAGTGAAATGGTGAGAGTGACAAAAGGCCATTAAAATGTTTAGGACTAGTAGCAAGTAGCAAGCCTAGCAAAACTCAGGTTCACTGGGGTGGGCAGGAAAGCTGGCAAAGATGCAGCCACACAATGGTCCAGCGTGGGGCGCCTCGGCTACAAAAATCCTTAACAAAATATTAGCAAACTGAATCCAGCAACATATTAGAAGAATTATATGCTGTGACCAAGCAGGACATATTCCAAGACATACGAGGCTGCTTCAACTAAAACTAAACAATGTAATTGACCATAGAAATGGAATAAAGAAGAAAAACCATATATCAATTGATGCAGAAAAAACATTTGACAAAATCTAGCACCCAATCATGAAAAGAACTCTTAGAAAGCTGGGAATGTGGGGAACTTCCTCAACGTGATAAAGAATATGTGCAAATATCTACAGTAGAAATCATATTAAATGGTGAAAGACTGAATTGTTTCCCCCTAAGATTGGGAAAAAGGCAAGGATGTCCACTCTCACCACCCTTATTCAATATACTATTGGAAGTTCTTGCCACTGCGACAAGGCATGAAGAAGAATTAAAGCCAGAAAGATTGGAAAGGAAGAAATAAAACTGCCCCTATTTGCAGATAGCATATTGGAAATATGTAGGAAATGGCAAGGAATCTACCAAAAATAGAAGTCCTAGAACTATTGAGTGAATTCAGCAAGGTTGCTGGTAACAGGATCAGCATACTAAATCAATTGCATTTTGATATACTAACAATGAACATATAGAAATCTATATTAAAAACCATTTACAATCAGTCCAAGTATAATGAAATAATTAGGCATACACTTAACCAAACATTTGCATGATTTGTATGCTGAAAATTACAAAATGCTGCTGTAAGATGTCAAAGAAGACCTAAATAAATGGAGAGACATACCATGTTCATGGGTTGAATTAACTGGCATCATAGATGCCAGCTCTCCCCAAACTGATCTATACGGTTTAATATAATTCCTCGTGAAATCCCAGAAAGGTTTTTTTATATACATAGACAAGCATATTCTAAAATGCATTCAGAAACTTCAGGTCCTAGAATAGCTAAAGTAATTTTGAAAAAGAAGAATAAAGTTGGAGGAATCACTGTATCTGTTATTAAGACCTATCAGTAGCCTCATCAATCAAGATAGTGTGATATTGGCAGAGGAGTAAACACATAGATCAATGGAACATAATATAGACCCTAGATTTAACCCATACAAATATGCCCAACTGATTTTGACAAATGTGCAAAATCAATTAAATGGAGGAAGTATAGCCTTTTCAGCAAGTGGTGCTGAAGCAACATCTATAGGCCAAAAAAGGAACTTGACCTAAACCTCATACCGTATGCAAAAATAAACACAAATGGATCATGGACTTAAACCTAAAACATAAAAATATAAAACTTCTAGGAAAAAAAATTGAATAAAATCTTCTATAAAATAGGGCAAGGGAAAGAGATTTGACACCAATAGCATGATCCATAAAAGGAAATACTGATAAACTAAATCTCATCAAAATTAAAAGTTTTTTTCTTTTTCCTTTTTGTCTTTTTTCGTGACCGGTAATGGGATCGCAACCCTCCGTGTCGCGCCTGCACCGCGCTCAACCAGTGAGCGGACCGGTCTCTATATGGGATCCGAACCCACGGCGGGAGCACCGCCGCGCTCCCAAGCGCCACACTCTACCGAGTGCGCCACCGGGCCGGCCCAAAATTAAAAGTTTTTGATTGGCAAAAGACCCTATTAAGAGGACC